CATAAATTATTCCCTATTTGGTCTTATAAGTTCACTCGGCGACATCACCGATGCAAGTACATCGTACTTGTACCGAACATAAAACACGTGCAGTGTTCTTGAAGCTATGCTGTAAACTGCGGTCACGTGACCTGAGATTGAGCTCGTGAAATCAACACCTGTATGATTAGAGCATTGGCTGGCACTGGCTATATTGAAGGAATGGATGTTTAACTCACTTGTAGTCTGGAGACCTAAATTGCACAGGCAAATTCAGAATATTTTTTTTAAATGCAGGGTCTTTGGAGGTGGATTGAACACTTTTTGTTACTTCACATGCACTGTCCTTGAAAATGTCACCTATTAACGTCTCTGTTACGTTAAGTATAATATAATACATTTTGGAAGGTATATGTTTTGGAATATTGAGTATAAGAGTTAACTAGCTAATTTGCACATGGGTTAGTTGTAATCAACTTAACTAAATCTTGAATGTGTTTTCAAGATATGCATATACCTGGAATGGTTTATAAATACGCAACTAAATCTAATTAACATACACGAACTTGTAAACAACACAGAACAGACAGATAGAATGGCATCGACAGACAATCAGCGATACACACATGTATACAAACAAACTAACAGAAAGACAGATATACAGACATATTGACAGAAAAAGAAACAGACAAGCAAAAAGGTCATACCCACAGCTGTATCGACTTTAACTGGTCTAAATACTATTTAAAACGTTGACAAGATGATGGAATACATTCATTTAATCAGTAAAAAAAGATAATCAGTGTTATTCTCAATAATGGAGAATAATTTATGGCAGGGGGTCAGTAGGTTGTCGCAGAACACAAGTTGTGCAAATTAATGTGTCAAATTAATACACAGACACGTGATGTTTTTTACAAGACAAATGATCACAACAACCAACTATTATTGGATACTTTATAGCTACTACGAGGTCGCAAATAAATAAATAAAATGCTGTCCCATTAGTCGTGTCCAGGCTACACCAGTATTTGACATCGTGTGGGACAGGCTGTGTCAGTGGTATGTTTCAGAGTCCGACGTAATTAATTTAATTTAATCATATATTTGTTGTACCTTAGTTCCCTCCCGTGCACGAACGCAATATGTGAGACTAAAGCCGTATTTGCGTACTTCCGATTCAATTTGTCTCCAGACTTTGGGATCTGACTTGACTAATACTGCCCGAAAAGTCCCGCATCACCCGCCTCTGAGAAACAACTTGCATGGATCGTGTTTAATTAATGCACTTTAGTGATTTAATTCTCATTCAAGAACGTATATATCATATTGTTTCTGTTGAAAACTCGATATTTCATCAATTTTTCGTTTCTACTGTTTTTTTTTCTCGTAAACATCCTTATTTTCTATGGTTTCATCCAATCATATTTTGTTTTCAACATACGATTTGCCATCTTGTCGATCGACATATTTACGCACTGTGTTGCAGCCACAGTAACACCATGAACGTGATATACACGACTATAATAACTCATTTCTATTGATTTGAATGCAAGTCACAACGTGTTACATTTGCAGGTGTCACATATGCAATGATAACACGAATAAATAGCTCTGATCATATATAACCCTAATAATAGTGGTATATGGTCTTTGTGTTGATAACAAGCAAGAACAGTTTAGTTTTTACAATCTGATGAACATTTTTATTATATTATTACGTAATTTATAATTGTGTTTTTTGTGGTTTATCTGCCGCACGAAAAGTTAAATAAAATATCTAATATAAACATGCCATGTTATCACATGATCACAGTGACCTTTCAACGGCTCATGTACGTACTGAAACTAATTGATCCAAAGTACCAACTATATTAGGCAACAGCCCTCCTCCGAATCACACACTACAGAGTTTCCGTGATGTAACAGTTTTTTGCCTTATTCAGGCTGCAAGTTTATTTTAAAACTGCTTCTTTCGGAGAAACGGGACATATTTTTAAATTGCTCGTAAATGACGGAGCAATACTTGATAACTCTAACCCTAACATCGATCGGGAAAAATGGTTATTTAGTCATTTTAACAAATTCTTGAGTTGGGCGGAGTGTAACTATTGTTAGAGGCAATGAATACTATGCAGACACCCCCCCCCCCCTATTCAGACTGTTTTATTGCTTGCTTACCATTTGAAGTAGGCATACGGCTATACATGAGTCAATACACAGTTCATATATTTTCAAAACCTTTATTTAATGCCATTTATCAGGAAAGTATAAACCATGCCGCGTGAATCTCGTTAATATTAATATATTTATGGTAGATATTACCCATCTACGGCTTAACTATAATTGTATATTGTAAATTCATGATATCAATTACAGACACGTTGCTACGATACCAGACTCGTTTTTAAATACAACAACTGTGTATTCGTCGAGCGATATTGTACTTTGTAAAACATCGGAAAATATTGATTAGATTTAGGGGAGTAGTTTTATAGATTTGGGAATATCCACCACGTCCATTGGTCACGTGACATCATTTTATATATTGCACCACGGAAGCATATTTGAACGATCTCAGGTATTTCCGGATTGGGGAAATTGATTAGATATTACTTCGTGACGTCAAAGATTTGTGGGCAAACACTAAGAAGAATGTGTGTAGTCACGTGATGTACACCCTGACAAGTTCACGGTTAATGCGTACGTAAAGCACACTGTGAAATACAAGATGGCGGCACTCTTCCGTGTTGCTAGGGAAACTACAATTGATTTTGATGAAGTCTAGGTTATCATTTGGGAGGGTCGATTTGCTCCGACATGTGGATGTATCATAAAATAAAATATTGCGAACGATTTAACAGTATTTTCTTTTTGCCGTGGATGGAAGTTTGTTTTCACTGAAGGAGTGCAATTCCGTTCCATCACATTAATAATCACTACTCCATCTACTCTATGGGAACCACTACAATACTATTTCTCGACCGAAACAGAATGACCCGTTCACTTCACTGGGTCTTAACAATTACATTTTTACCAAGTCATTTCCTATAACGACACAGATTATTCTATTTCTGGCGCACAATAAATTCGTCACAAAGGAGTTTGAATGGAGTTTGATGTCGGGGTAATCTTGTACTATGAAAGATGTTGCTCTATGATGGAGATCATATACATTTGTATGTATAAAATTGAAACCTTCTTAGTGAGGAGTTTGTCATGGGGTTTATTTTGAACCGAAATTGGTCAGAACTATAAATATGTTTAATTGTTAATCTGTTATTGTTATCTAGTTTGGTTTACCGAGCACAATATGGCAGCAATATGGCAGATATACATAGCTTATTGCCGTATCATCATAAAATGCTTGAACTAGGATCGACCCCAACAAATAACTATGATATATTTTGCCGGGACTATTTTTTTTAGCTGAATCTGTTTCAGACTGTCTGTTCAATATACTCATTGCGTATGTACGCCATAGACTAACTAAATAGAAAGCCATGATCCCCAGGAATTGATACAACATACGCTTTGTCACAGTACTCGCTTCGGGACATTTAATTTAATTACTTTATTCTTGGGTACGCTATCTCACAAATATCCCTATATTCTTTAACAGAACACCGCGTAAATGCATAAAGCGTTCAATTATCGACATGGGAGATTTGTCACCGTTTCCGATTTTCCCAGAGCATACAAATAGATCTCAGATTCATCTCCTCTTCAAATGAAGAAATTATTTATTGTTTGATTAGTATTCGTACGTATAACGCTGGGTCGCATTATTTCCCGCTATCAACAATAAAGTGATACTATACATGTACCTTGTTCTACTCACGTCGGTTGCATTACAATCATTTGTTAGTTATGCATTGTCCATTGTGCCAAAATTAATAGACAGGTTATCCCATTATTTAATATTACAACATCATGTGTATTCGAAAAGTACTATTCGGGATCACAGTCACATGAGGCGTATCGTTTCATCACTCAGGCGGCTATGCTAATCATTGAACCATACCCCAAACAAGTTAACGAGAAGGAACCAGTAATGAAGCGGTTCCCATAGTAACTAGATGAAAATACACAAACAATGTGCAAAATAATAATAATAATAATAGTAATTTGTATAGTAGCAGACAGTAGCTTTTATCAAAGGCAGTATATATTTATGGTATTTCTAACAGTCTACATGTGTTGTCTCTGTTCCCATGGTAACATATTTAACTTTTGAAGCACAGCGTCTCACGGTAAATATGCTAAGAGTCAACAACCACAACAATTTCTTTTATATTCAGAATTTTAATTATCTCATTGAGATGAGTGTTCACACACAGTTAAACACATAACTTATATTTCACATAGCAATGTGATTTGTAATCATATAAACCTTATTAAGTAAAAAAATAGTTGGAATTCCTTAGAGATACATCGTTGCTAAACTGACATTCAGTGACTTCCGTGGGAACTTTCGTTGAAATCTGTCGATATCTCATGAAATCTGTCGATATCTCATGAAATCTGTCGATATCTCATGAAATCTAGAGTTGGAATTATACAAACCTCCTAATAAATGTAGGAAACATCACGGGTCAGAGGGGTGTTGTGAGGGCGTAGCCCGAAACAACTCACTCATGTCCCGCGGTGTTAGCTACTGGCTACGAGTGAAATCTCGATTTTGATGCCTTGAATTCCACGGGAATACATCAACCGAAAGTGGAGCTTGAGTCGAGGCAGGAAAAAATTGATACATCGAAAAAAAACAAGCTGCTTTCTGATTGGTCTGACTATTAGGTGTTAGGATTGGGTAGCCAATCAGGTATAATCTTGTAAGTATCTTCGCATTGACTCAAAGTTTGCGACTTTTGAATCGGTGTCATATTTGAATTGAATTCACGCAGGCATTAGCAAGGAATAGCGAATTAAAGTAGAAAACCATTC